GTGGCCTTTCTGATACTTGGGAGTTAACGGCTTTGTCAGTTTCTCTAGCTATTGTCCCAGGCAATATTAAAGTCTGCAACACTATTAAAATCATATAAACCTCGATTCCTTCACACATTATTGAGGGCATATATTATCTAAAGCGATGTTTGGAGAACCAGATGTTTAGGGGAGAATTAAGGGAATGCTTCATCTCTCCCCTTAGAGCCGAGATTGTCAATCTCCAAACTGATGATAGCGCCGGACAGCCAAGGCTAAGAAATGGATTGATCATTTTCAGCTCTCATAAGATTACATGCATACATTCCGCCACTCACGCACGGCTAGACAGGTGATAGACAGGCAGACAGACAGAGAGAGATACTCACAGACAGATTGACAAAGAAGTTCCTGGAAATAAACGTACCAGGTCATTTAAAACTGACTGAACCTCCCAATAGACATTGTCTTAAAATGAACCAGAAAATAAATGTTAAAAAAAAATCAAAGGGAAAGGAGAAAGTTGTGAAAATATCTCAGCAGAAGACTCGGTCTTCGTTTCCTTCGTTCGATAAACTTATCTGTTTAGAATTGATATTAAATAACCTGTCTGCTCTGAACTTGTACAGACTTGTTGATTTGTATGTACGGAGTTGCTATATAACTTAATTAGAGAGTCCTCTAGGTCCATAAATAATACAGAAAAGTATTTCAGTGTGTTTTTAATGCAGTACAAGGAATATTATTGCGCTATAACACCTTGGAGCCAATCTGAATATCTCTGTAAGGCATATTTGTTCACCTTTAATTTGTTTTGTAAGTTTTTTTTTTTATTCCAGATGTGATGTGATGCACTAAAACACCATGTCGTAAATCTCAAAGTACTACTTATTTTATATTTTGGAATCTTAGGAAGAAAAATATTTCCAACTGAAGTCTAATAATATTCAGCTTTCTGTTTTATTTCACGAGTAAATCGCTCAATCGGCTTTTTTTTCTGTTACCGAGTGGGTTTTGAAATATATTTTTCAAGTTTTAGGGGGGAAAAAAAATCTAAAGTGGTAGTAATTTCCTTTACCGAATAGAATATAAATAATTGGATGGACTGCAAATTAATTTTTCATTTATTGGAGGCGCTAGTGAAACTGCGTAAGCATTGCTGCGTTTTTCGATCTTTTTAAGTAAAGCTCGTGTTAGCGTTCAACAGTTTGAAATACCCACTGCAACTTACGATCCCAACCCACGTATGTCTTATAGTGGCTTTAATATTATAAAATAACATTTATGGAAAGTTCTATATCAAGTCAATTAAGAAGGAAACATTGATGCTATTTGTGGTTTACTTTTGTTTTGTTGAAATACAATTCACAGTGAGCTGCGCGCTGTAACGGATATGGTGTTAAAACGACACACCTGGCTCTGCATTGGCGTAGGAAAGCGTCCTGAATTCTATCCCAAGAATAACAGCAGAATGTATCGAAGTAACCGTGTCTGAAAGGTATTCGCCGCGTTATCAGATCGTAATCATAGTACAATATCTGATTGCCATTGTAATGTTCAGTGACGGTCACCGAACATTTTATCGTTCAATGAGCAGAAACTGTTGTCGATTTTTCTCAGCAGCTGTGCTTTTTACAAACCACACTTTGCTGTCCACTGACATATCTAACTGGACGTTAATTATTTTCGATTCGAACAAAAGTCGTGCCGTTTAAAATCTTCCAATGATATGTTGCGACCGCCTATTTATTAATTATTATTCTTTAAATTAAATAGAGTGGCAAAAAAAAAAACGGCGCAGAAAAGTGTGATCGGGCTAGGTACCAGGATCAAGGTTTTGCAAAACTTTAACTATGGGGAATATACAAGTGATTGAAGACCCTGTACTCCAGCTATCTGTCTGTTTGGACTCACTCAGGTCCAAATGGGTCAATTTTGTTCAAAACACGAATTGGAAGTGGTGCTGCTGAAGTATGCTTGCCGAGATGATATTACTCACGGCGTTTTTTAAAAGATTTTTCTTCCAGGTTTTTGCGACCGCCGTGAAATAAATTAGGCAGACCAATCAACACTGCTTCAAAACTTCAGGCTGTTTCAAAACCAAAATCCTAAAAATCGTCTCAATGATCAGACATATTTCAATTGATTGATTTCTTTGTTATATCAATATGTCAGCTCGCATTTTGGGGGAAACGCAAACTGAGGTAAAATGCCTTCAATAAATGCATTGGTAAATAAGATGTAGCAGCCTGACAAATAACAGAATAACAAGAATTAATTCTTTATATATTTTTTTGTGGTGCTTAAAATACATTGTTCTAGGTTCTGTTTGAAAACAAACCTAACAGGTCTACATTCTTCGATCACAGTATCGGTTTCTTTATGGTTTCTTTATGGGGATATTTTCGTACATACAGTGCAAAAATGAAGGAAAAATAGAATAAATCCGCTTTAAAAGGCTAATAAATCCATACTTTTATTAGAAAGGAAGTGTGGGAGCCCAAAGATCTGATATTAAAGATGATCTGGTTCCGATTTCTGGATGATTGAACGTAATAATACAGGCCAACCAAAAAAAAAATGCACCCCCCACCCTACACACTTTTAAGAGGAAAGCATCTTAAATTCGCTTTTTTGTTGTTTCATTTTGCCTTTAGAGCATCTTGAGAACGAACACTGGAAATTCAAATATTTTTGTACTAGTAGTACTGCCAATCCGTTCTCTAGAATGTGTACCCAGGCTGAATTTTTAAATTTCGCTTTGATCTGTTTAAACATATTCAATGATCCACATACTGCTACAGCAGTGAAATGGGCTGGGTTTTGTTATTGATCGCTCCCTCTCGTCAATGTCCTGCTCTTCCACTGTATGTGAACATTTTTCTGTTCGTCAAATGTCTTGCAAACTTAGATGACTCTGTAGATAATTTGACAGACAGAGCAATGTTTCTAAAGGGGTAGTGACGTGAGGGGGGGTCAGGACATTTTGAAACTGTTCAAGTATTCGCTTACCTGTAATCCTATCCATCAGAACTTCAAAAGACACAGTATACAAGCGCTGAAGGCGTTCTGCTTAAATGTTAAAGCAACAGCGATCCCTAACAGATACCTGTGGGTAATGTCAAATCAACAGCCTCTAATGTCTGAGCTAGACCGGTTCTTGATTATACCCCGTTTACGGCAAGGTGTGTGGTGGTCACGAACTGGATATTCTGTAGGAGTGTTGGCCGTTAATTATTTTTTTTTAATAACTGGAGTTCCTCAGAGAAGCGATGTCTCCATCTCAGATGTGGGTTTGAGGTCTACCCGCTTCTCACCGCGCCGCGCAGTAATATACCGATTGAGATAAAAGAAAAAATCAAATTGAAATCCGTATCCCAGGTGAAAGATGTGGACACATCGCCAAGTGAGATTAAACAGATTAGAAACGAGGGGGAAAGGATGTATTCGATGGGGGGGTTGTGTTTAATTGTGTTTTAATGCGATTCCGATTCACACAAGTGGTAATAACACACTCCAAAGCCTTACCATGCTGAAAGACATATCAACAGTATACAAAAATTCATCAATGGAAGTTGCAGTGGCGTTAGGTCGCGTTTCTTTAAAAAAAAAGTGTGATTCGTGAACATTGTAGAGATCGAATTTTTTTTTATGAATTAAAATCAGCCTCATGAATCAATGAGTTTGAGGGGATTATGTCCAGTATCAGTGAAAGCCAGTTCCGTCTTTGCTCAAAAACGCCATTATGGCTAACGCAGGAATGAAACTTAACATAGACATGACCTATAAATACAATTTAATCCTGAACTGGAAAAAGTCACTCAGTTGAGATACGAATTCCCACTGGAAACAATGACTAGTAAATGGACAATCGATATTCTCGCCCACAGTATCCAGATTCTGGACTGAGTTGTTTTTTTTTATCAGCATAACCAACAATTCACATACCTCAGCCCCTTTAAAAAAGCTTCAAATAACTTTCAGCGGATCTAAATCCAGCGTCATCAGAGGAGGCGAACTCCTTTGCTCCCTGTGATTAAGAACAATCTTCTGAGAATCTTCAGATAGTTTCTTAGGTTTTGCTTAGCATACGTGATAAAACATTGATTGTTGCAGCTTGGTGACCCATAAAATTTGGGGGTTAGTTTTCTCTTCAGACCAGAGCATATAATTATGCAAATACGTAGCTGTCACTGATCTGGTGGAGCGCTCTCCTGCAGACGGGTGGAAAAAGTGACGTTTTAACTTAGCCGAGTGTTCAGGCGCTGGTAAGAGTTAATATTTAGCAGTGCTGGCGGGGAGGGGAGGGTGCGAAAACACGGGCAGGAGAATGTTTCGGGAAATAATTGAAATATCATTTTAGGCCCCGTTGACAAGGACAAAAGGGGGGGCTTTGAAGTTTGGAGAGTAAAGCTTTTCAGAGAGAGAGGCGAAAACGTAAAAAAAAAGCGCACACATACGCAAACCTTGGCAAGATGTTAAGTATTCTCGACTGCCATACGGAAACCTGTTTGTATTGACATTTTGCAACTATACACGGCTTTCAGATTCTCTTTGTAGGATTTTTAAAATCTCTCAGTCTGGTATCAAAATAGCCACATCGAGTAGGCCCTCTACTATCCGAGGAGGAAGCTGGATTCTTAATTGTGAGGTGTAGTGATTAGTATTTCTTCCAAAGAGACATGCTTATGGCCCACCTCATCCTCTGCTTATCTGTATAATATGTTTAGGGCCAAATATAAATTCAATTTCTTTCCTGATGTACAAGCTCTTGTAATAAGTACAAATCTTACCAAGTGCGTGTTCTGGGTCAATTCATCTTAATTATGAGGAAAAAAAACGCGCAAGTTGTGTTTATTATCACAGGTGCTTCAAACAAAACTCCGCCATCCTGCTGAGGATCGCCGTATGCGAAAGCGGTGGCTTTAGTGCGTGCAGTAATTAAACAGGCAAATAAACAGCGGTGCCTTTGGAGCCTTGATCAAATTGAAATGTTCAAATAAGGACTTTTGTCGTTTCAGCTGCCGTGAATCTTCTCGTTAAACGCGCATCCCAAGTATCGCTGTGGAGAGCTCTCTGCACATCTAGGGAGAGGTCGATAGTAACCCATCAATTACACATAACAAGAAGTAAGTTGTTGCCGTGCGATGGGTAAAGATTTCAGCTTTCTGTTTGTGCTCGGACTCTTGTAGGGAACTGTGCGTTCAAGACCCCCCAGTCCCATTTGTGAAAACCAAGTTAATGTCACAGGAAATACTGGCTATTTTTACTAAACGTAAAATATTTGCAATTACTTGACAGACCTTTGTTGTGAAAACTCCACCCGTACTTGCCCTCGCATGGTACTGGATGATTTAAATGTTTTATTTATTGCTGACCCGACACGATATGAGAGATCGTTGCTGGTGCTTCTACCCCTTTACACGTGTTGTTATGGGGTTAATGGAAAGATTTGAAAAGATTTATTGTGGGGGCGTTTAATGACCGTATTGGTTTTCACCGTGTGAAAACAAATGATGTTGTAAACCTTAAAGGGATATGACTGTTTTAGCAAAGATTAATCACTTTTTTTCGGGGTCTTACTTGAGGAAATTAACTACGGGCATTTAGGAAATATTTTACGTTTATTGTGTTGATTACTTGTTGTTTTGGACAGACATCGTTTCACCATTCGCGACAAAAGTTATTTCTAAAAGAAACTTTTTTTTCTCAAAATGACGAACCTCGAGATTAAACCGACACATACGTGAATCCACACGTGTTTTATTTTTAGGGGGTCAGGTTATACCACTAAACGCAAAACCGAAAAAAAAGATCAGGAACGTAATTATTTAATTATTTTTAAAATGGTAGATCGACGTACTTTTTTCACATCCTTGCCACTAATTTGCGATGATGTCGGCAGCATCGGTTTTATTTTACTGCGGATCAGGAAACCGGCTCGGTTCCGGTCTCTTTCCCCCCTCCAGACTCCGTTTCCTTCGGCCCTCTCGACACAGGAAAGCGCCAGGTGGCACAGCGACTCGCAGGCCTGTCTTCGGGTCTGCGTTCAATTTTATTCCCTTCCTCAGCGTCGTCGTTCCCGATAGTTCCCGTAGCTGGTCTCACTGTTTTTTTTTTTCTTTCTCGCACGGGTTACCTTATTTTCTCGGAAGGGAAGGGGTTGGAAAAAAAAGGCCTACATGGCGTCAATAAACGACCTGTTAACCCTGGAGCTGGGATGAGCCGGTCGCAAGTTCCGCTGCATTCAGAGAAAGCAGAAGATCCTTTTGTCAAGATCTCATTAAGTAACGTTTTACTTTTCCACTCCTAGTCGTTTTTAAAATCCGCAACCACAAGTATTTCAGTTTGATCACATTGAAAATATAATTCCAAGTGAAGGAATTAAAATTTCATACACCTCCTCTTCAGAATTTAGCACTTACAGGAGTAGCATTTCACACGTTTAAAATGACTGTAGTGACCTTTGCTAATCATACATTCACAGCCACACTAAAATTACATTGAAGGTCTGATGACCAATTGCTCATTTTGTATGTCAGTGCAGACAGTTTCGCAAATAACACCACAGAAAGTTAAAACATTTTTATTTAGTAACAGCAACATCTTCGAGAGAATTAAGAAAAATACAGTCCCATAACCATACTTAACGACCGGAAGTGGAAGCAATTAAAATCCGATTTTACAGGTTTAAAAAAAACATAGAACAGAAATGAAATTGGCCATTCACTTTAAATGGAAACACTCCTGTGTCCTGGTACATGCACTTTGACTGTCCAATCAATAGCAAATCAACGAGCTTTACAAGTTGCAATCATTCTTGTTACAGCAGCGCAAACTGAACTGAATAAAACTAGACAATTTTGTAACAACAAAAAAAGTTTTACTCAAGCAACCGAGACTGTTTCACAAAACCGAGGCTAGCAATTCTTGTACATGCGAGTAAACATCTGCGGTTATCGAGGGAAAAAAACATTTACCGACTGAGTAAAAACACCTCAGAGAATTCTTGATAAAATTCGGAATAAGTTACATATCAAATGTGCTTTAGATTTGGCTTAAGGCTGTTCTGTTTATTACGGTCAATTTAGTAGTAAATATGGCTTGTTGACGTTTTTTAGAAACAATTTATCAGTGGACATGGTGACAGTTGATTGGGTAATTCACTCATAAGGCAACGATATTGAAAGACTGAAGAGCACAACAGTGCTATTGTCCCTTCAACTCAACCCTTCAAATCAAATTCTAGATTCTAGGCGACCCTTAAGTACAAAGCTGATGTAAATAATAATAATAATAATAATAATAATAATAATAATAATAATAATAATAATAATAATAATATGACCAGTGATTTATCCAGTACTTTAAGCAACAAGGCTTTTTCGTTGATTGCTATTATGATATTATGCACAGAAACACGTTCACATTACAGACATTGCAAACTAGGCTTGAAGAGGAAAAAAACGTGTTGGATTAGTACGGTAGGAAGCCAGGACACTGCTTGAGACAGTTATCAAGCATCTAGGACTAGGTACCTACTGCATGGTCAGCTATCTGCTGTAAGCTGAATATTGGTTTGTACTGTTTAGGCGTAGCTCTCCGACAGTGATTAGCTATTGTGAGGGTTTTCGTTAGATCTTTCATCCTATGTGTTCTGTCATCACAGGGGTTAAAAAATTAAATTTTAAATTTTAAATTTCACATAGGCTATCGCAGTCCTAAAACTCAGACTGGCAGAAAAGTCCAGATTTAGCGCCTGTAAACGTCTGCTGGGTGACGTCACAGATTTCCCGACACGCGTTTAGACATAAATTACAATATTAGGACTCTCGAATTTATTTATTCATTTCTGTTAAAATGAGACATCCTTAAAACTCAATTTCGGGCTTCACTTTCAATGTCATACAAAAGCTAAGCATCCATTCTGTATTTATAATCTGATATTGTTTATGGCTGGTTTATTTGTTTTTGCCTTTTAAATAAAAAAAAAGTGCATCACAAGTGTCAATTTTACCAGTTATTTTAAAAAAAGCTAGAGAATTTTTTTAGGAGGAAACAATCATTTACCACCACATAAAACGAACACATATGAATTAAGTGTGCCAAGTTCGATATCAAATTACCTCTGCAAATACAGAAGAGACTATTTTTTTTGCACATCATAAAAAAATTATATTGCAACACAAATGCATTATTACTACACACAGCTATCCAGCTGCTGTACATATGGCTTGACATAAACAGCATTGTACAGAAAGGAGAAAGCATTAAAAACAATGAAAAAATCAAAACTGAATACATCACTTCATTGTAGCTAAAATCATTCTATGCTAATTGACAGTGTTTACACAAAGAATGTGGTTAAAAAATCCTCTAAGAGCATTTTCGAAAAAAGATACAAGCAATAGGACCCAGGGGAGTCTGTGCAGCCTGGCATTAGCTCAGTTCAGGGCTGTGTCAGGGCAATTAGAGGTGCACCATGCTGCACAGTGCAGTGCTGCTGTCATCCTTAATCTGCGCACTGATGGGCAGCAAGAAATCCAAGCTCCCGTCCACAGGAAGCACAACCAGCGAACCCATATTGCTTTGACAGTTGCACTCATCTAGAAATAATGCAAAACGCTATTTAGATGTATACACCGCGACCCTGTGCTCTAGGAAGAAAACAAAGTAATGAGGGGCTGAGAGATTGCTTGCAAAAAAAAAACAAGGGGGAGGAGGGGGGAAAAGGGGATTTTGTTTCCTTTTAAATCTCTTCGTGTTTAATCCTGTTGGAACTCCGTGTAGTTACTGTGGTCGTGGGCTTGGCGTCCCAGTTCTGTCCCTCTAGAGCCGCAGAGAGAAACTTGAAGATGGAGTGGAAGCTCTTCCAGGAAGTCAGCTCGTGCCGCTCTGTACCTGCAAGACAGACCCACACAAGCACACGGTGTTAACGGCCATGCTCTGCCTCGTTCCCAGGGATGAGGGCTCCGCTCCGCAGCTGGCCGCGATGTGGCAGGGGGAGGTGTGTGCACAGAGGCCAAGACTCCAGCGGTGAGCAGCCAGGTGTCGGAGGGCGGGGCGCCCCTCGGGGACACCTCCAGGGACAGCAGCGCAGTTCAGTTCCACCTTCCCGACTCACGCAATCCGAAACATGCAAGACAACGGGAGCAAACCAACTTGCACGTGTGCTCTCCCTCTGACCGGGATGATGCCTGTTTTTAACAACAGAGCAGGGGGTCAGCTCATGAGCATTCTCAAGCCAGGCCCCATGGCTTACTTTATGTTTGTTCATTTAACTCCTCCAGCTCACTTAGGATGAAACACGTTTACAATCGTAATGCAAACCTATAAATCATCCCGTCTAGCTGGATGATATCTTTGTTCTTAAAACTAGTATTATATACAGAACCTTTAGTGCTATATTAATCTTTTAAAAGATGGAGAGTATCTGTGAATGCACGACAGCAAATGACGAATATCATTGAATTCAACATATTTGAACAAGTGTTTTTCAGTTATCTTTAGTGGTTGTTTTTGTAGTAGCATGTAAACTGCACTGGCCGAAAGATGATCACCTTTGTTTGCACACCAATAGCCAAGAGAAAGTGACTTGGGCATTCTGAGCTTCAGAGGGGTAAAAAACTTTGGGATGATACAGACAAGACATCAAACGGAATTTAATTGGAGATTTACTGAAAACCAGAAGATATTGATTCTATTTAGCTCACTTCCAAGTGCTAATACACAGTTTCAAAAGGTCAGTTTTGCCACAAGCTACTTGCTACCTCTCCACTACAGATCCGTTTTACAAAGAGAAGGACCGGTTTTAAAATGAGGAGACCGGACCTGATAGAATTTTATTGAATAGAGTACTGCACTAAATAACTAACTACAAATACTTGAATAAATGTGAGAAGTACAAATAGCATAGCAAAACACATGCAATGAATGCAACACTCACCACAATATTTTACATAATTGTTGTTATACTAAAAACCACATGCATTAAATATATTAAGAGGTAATCGTGTTAGTGGATGCTGATACCATCCTATGTGGTCGTCCATCTCAAGTGCAAAGCCCTCATGTCAGATGAGTCTGGGGACTGTTCTCCAAAATGCTCAAGACCTATCAGAACTTCAGCAAGGGTGATAGTTACATGAATGTTTACAACCCATTGTGCAGTATGTGTCTAGTATTGAAAAAACAGAAGATCCTGATATTTGTAATCTACCAAGATGTGTTAATAAAAACACGATAAACTTGCTTTTGTTGACTTATTTTGCAATATCATAACGCATAACTAAAGAAACGTATCTGTTGGAAGTGTGTCTGTTGTCAAACTCAATTTGGAGTATGAGCATTGTCAAATTTTACTCCAGTGGGACAGCACAATAGCCTGTAATGTTGACAGTGATCCATGACTCACATATATTCCTGACAAACAGCAACACCAGCCCAACACCAGACATCTAAATTTTTTTCCATGCATTTTAGCACTTGGAGGTAAGTGTTTGTTTTCTCTTATCGATCCACGATAAGCACTTCCGTCTGTGAAATATTAAAAGACATGTCAAGCACATGCATGACAGACAACAATTTACTGGTTTTGACAAGCTTCCAGAAATTTCAGAACAGGAGATTGGTCAAATATAAACTACTAAAACACACACAAACAGAAATAAGCAACATAATGTTCTAACATACAGTATCAGACCACTGCTAATTGGCTTTTCATCGTGAATGAGAGTCAGCAAGCCAGTAGTTCCTCTGAATTTATAATGAGTCAGCAGCACAAATTACTTTCTCCAATTAGCTCTGGTTTGTTCCGTTTCCAAAGACATACCCAAAATGTGTAATGTCCAAAATATATTTTAAATGAAAAAATGATGGACATTTGAAATGCTAGGAACTAAGATCTAGATTTATTAATTATGAGCTGGAAAGTCTCAAAACCTGAGATGATAAAATTTGTTATGGAGGTCACAAAGTGTTTTTGCCTCACGTTCTTAAGGGGTGACAAAGGAAGATACCTCATCGGAAGAGAAATATAATACCAACTTTCGAAAAGGGGATGCCAACAGGCTGGTGTGATGGCTCCTCGCAGCACTACAGCAGAGGAAGGGCTCATCAAGGCCTTTTTATTGCTCTTCTTATCAGAGTGTAATACTAGGTCATTGCTATAGTTACTTACAGTGATTCAACACTTAATTTCACCAGCTAATAGCTCAGTCCCTGTAACCATATTTGCTGCCTAGCAACAGATGTGTGGCAATCCGACAAAGCAGCGCAGTTTCAGATGGGATGCAAAACAAACAGCGATTAAGTCAGGGGGTGTATTAGTGGCTAGATATTGTAGCTATCTGGACAACAGAGGAGCAGTGCATGACAGAGGAGCATACTGAATATCTCAGAAATGTGTCAATTGTGCTGTGTGTGATACTTCCTCCAAGGATGATAAAAGTCACACTCTTTTACAGAGCTAATAAATTGCGACAGCGTTGCTTTCTGGTCTCAACACACAGGTGTCCAGACACTCAGAGACAAGTGTATGCTCTGCCGAAATTGCTCTCAGTGGATTGGACAGAGGCATTACAGTGGTTCTCTATCCTAGTCCCCTTTTATACATTTTCTCTATATTAGTGATGTTACAAGCACCAGCCCAGAGGGAGACAATTAAAACATACCTTTATGGCCCAGTCAATGAGTGTACAGTGATGGCTCTGGTATTGACCCTCTGTTTATTAGATTGACCCCCAACTGGTCTATATTAATGAAGACTCCTGAAGAAAACGGCCCGGCGAAGAAGGCCAATCGTTTAGGATTTTATGGACAATGGTGATCAGTGCCTTGGGTCAAGTTTACCAACCTTGCAATCATCAAGTTAATAACCCTCACACTAACATCTTTTACCTGTGTGAGTCTCAGAAGAACGCTCCCTCGAAACGCACAGCCTTTAGACTAGTTATTTATAATTTATATCCAATTTAAAGAGCAAAGATTTTTCTTCCCTCATTTTCTGTAGGGCAAAACAATCAATGCAGGGTTTTGCTATTACTTTGAACTCGGTACTCTTCAATGCAAAACTCACTGTCAACAGTTCTGAGCACATCACGCACAAGTACAGGGGGTTTTTAAGCAGAAATGCAAAACGCCATTCTTAAAGCATGTTATTAAGAGCCTGTCTGGTCAGGCACCTTTGTGCTTCTTTGGGTTTTTTTTGCTTGTGGTCTCAAAACAGTTTCCAAAAATCAAATCAGACGGCAAAAACACTAATATTGGTATGCTTGTGAAATGTCTGCATGATATACATCTAAAATTCAAAAGCTATGTATGAGTGGAAAGAAAAATCATAGTATAATTTTTTCAGGTTTCTAGCTAGACTTGCAAAAATATATAATGACATTTTGCTCAGGAACTAAAAGTTTTGAAAACCTGTCGACATAAAGACCAGAGTGGTCTTTCACTCATACCTACTGCAACATATGTCATCAGTCCCTGTCATTCACACAGTCACTGTATTACAGTTTGGAAAACACCAAAATCCCTTCCATCAACATCCTGTTGAGAGTTTCTACCTCTGCCTTTAATTTGTAAATGATTAAAGGCAAACCAAACATGTCAAAAAGGAACAATCCGTTAGACAGGGGGTATGGGACTGTGCCAAAAGAAAAAGAGAGAAAGGGTGATTAACATTTACAAGTTGAACTGAGAAAGTTAACCGTCGTCCTGTCATGGAAAAACTAAAAACCTGCCGTCCGTTTAGGCAGGATGTGACCTCGTGTTAAATGGCTTCTCTGCTGCAGACTAGCTGGGGTTTCATTTGAGAAGGAAAAACGCAGAAAAAGGCTGCCGAGGTGCTTATTAGCCTGCCCTTGAGATCATGAAATCCAAATACAACACCCACACCTGTGGGTTTACAAACTCGGGGGCGCTGCTCGCGAGACCTGGGTCACAGAACTGCGACAGAAACACCAGAGCCTCAAAGCTGAGCACTCTGTGAGGCTTCCTTATGTATTCCTACTGTGCCTGACCTACAGCTTGCAGCAGAAATGGCAAAGGTAAGACTCAAATGTTGCCCTCAACTCTCTTCTGAAGGATCGGGTCTTTGGTGCACTTAACCTGTTTGTTTTGCTAATTATTCTTCCCGATACAAAGAAGAGATGCAGTATATCTGATCCCAGGTCCTTTGCCTCCCTTGTTAATTTGAATGGATCCGTTTCAGGAGAATGAACTGCTTTTTGATCTCCCTGTGACTTACATTGTGCTAAGTTTGTTTTTAATTCATTTTCTATCATGCCTATGGGCCATGCTCGGCGACCAAAGGAGGAGGCTGTAACAAATGGTAATCTTGTGACTGTAATGGATTTCAAAAAACAAATACAAGGTGAAGCTAAAATAAAACAAAGCAATGCCCTGAGAAATGCTAAAAAAAAATCAAAGCTTGCATTTTATAATTAGTTTCCATCTGTGGTACATTATTTAAAGCCCTGCTACTTAATTGCTTGTGTACTAATGGCCTGTTTTATTTGAAATGAACTCTTTATAATTCATAATTACATTAAGGGGGAAATAAAGTGGTACAGTTTTGTTGGTGCAGTGATTACATGTTTTTAAAAATATATATTTAATTAAAACGATAATTAAGAATGCATGTATGCTACAACAAATGTACGAATTTATTTTAGCACATATTTTAGGTTTCCAGTCCCCTCGTTGATGTTTTGCTATTCAATTATACATCTTTTCATTGACTCATTAGTATATTACATTTGGAAATGGAGTTTTGTGCTTAATGTGCTGAGAGGTATAACTTGCCAGAGAAACAAACAATTGTGACAATAACAAGGAAAAAAGCTAACTATGATGTTGGCTTTAAGTGAGTAGTCTGGTACCATGTGTGTAGGATCTGTCCATATCGCTGTTCCCTGTGTTATCTGTGCAGGATCTGTCCATATCGCTGTTCCCTGTGTTATCTGTGCAGGATCTGTCCATATCGCCGTTCCCTGTGTTATCTGTGCAGTATCACTGTCTGTGTCTTAGATTTTCTTCTGCCTACAAGGCCGCTAGTGAGGCTCCTGGTATTTGCTTTGTCGAAGCAGCCTTGTTTGAA